TTTGTAAGGTCCATTTGAGCCATCCTTAGATACTTTAAATTTTAAGAAGGAAATTAATAATTTACTTAAAATAATTTTATTTAAAATTTGTTTTATTAAGTTCTTTGTTGGGACACTCTCTATTTATAAAAATGGTTTTATTATTTACATATTTTCCGTACTGTATTAATTTTCTCATAGTGCGGCGTTAGAGGCGGCAGCGGGAGCGGCGGCTCGTGCCCGACCACGAGACCCGGGACAGGGACAGGGAGCGAAAAGCTATTTTTAGTTCGCGTGTTAGGGGCTCCCCCGCGATCCGATCGAACGGCTGGCTATATTGTCGAGGACGCGGGAAAAAATAGAACAAAAAATAGAGTGAGCTTGCGCGGTCAGGAAGAAGAAAGAAGAGCCCGCTCCAAATACCAAGGGCAATATGCCATGGCGTATCCATTGATTTCGACGAACAGGTGGGTGGAGTTAATTTATTGTCCATTGTGTTAGGTTTTAAGAGATTATTTTACAACATTTTAGTACTTTTTAATGGGAACTTGTAAGCCTAAAAATAACAGAAAAACCGAAAATATGCTTATGATTATAAGTTTGACATTTAATTAGAATTTAATAAAGAAATGTTTTATTTTACTAATTAGCAACACTTTCATAGTTAGCAACACAAGCATACTCACAAATCTGACATTTAACGAAAAAAATTATAGTATAATAATAGTATACTAAAAAGTTCTAGTCCTTGCCTACTTTTTTTTAACGAGTATTCAAATATTGCGATTCAAATAAAATCGGGTATTTTCAATCTGTAATATCTTAGAAGGGAGTCACTTTAAAACTATAAAATTAAGAGTCTTAGTTTTATTATTCATCAACATATATAACATTTTTTTAACACCCTCTGTATATTTTTACATATTTTGAAACACAATTTAATTTGGAACAAAAAAATATAATTGCCTAACTACCCTAAACTTAAAAATAAACAATTAATAAGCACTTTCTGATTGTGTTAAAATAAAGTAATTATTTAGGAATTTCAACAACCCTAAAAAAATTGTATAGTTTATTTTTAAGTTTTGGGTATAGAGGTGCAATAATAATTTTTTGTTCCAAATTAAATATAAAAATATGTAAAAATATACCCGACGTTTATCATTAAAATCAGAAGAAAAAAGCCACCAATGTGCCATATTAATCGAATTTGTAGCTCCAATAATAACGAAGTTAAAGTGATAGCAATTATAACTTTGGACACGATGTATACTGGACAGAAAATATTGTATACTTTATGTTCTTTAACGTGTTTTTATTTAACTAAAAATATTTTTAAAAACCAATAAGCTACAAAGTTTAAGGAACACATCTGTAAAATGCAAAATATATTTTGCGTATAGGATAATGTTTGGTGCGTACAAAGTAGCCGCTCGAAAAAACTGAAAATCTAAAAAATTAATAAATACCTGCTTTTAACTCTCTAAGTATAGTAAAAACATAAATGCATAAATTTTTGTAACATTTTTCTCAAATTACATTTTTTTAAATCTTTTTAAACAAACTGTCATGTCTTTTAATATAGGCATGGATGTCTACTAGATGAGTAATGCCTATTAATATGCGAAAATACCAATCAAACTTATTTGGTTAGTATTCATAACCTTCAGTTTTATTTTAGATATGGATTATTTTATCTTATGACATAAACTACTAATAAAAATGTATTTTTATATAATCAAAATAATCTCATTTATTTTCAGAAAACCCTGTTAAATATTCTTTTTTGAATTGCGTATTTATAAACTATGTAATTATTTAACAGGTTTCCATTATTATCATTAAGATTCTAGTTCTATTAATTTTCTGTTCTATACTTGAATTTAATATTAATTCTAATCAATAATTTCCAAAAAAGCCTGTCGTGTCGGTACGATTTACACAGCGACATTTAAAAAATTTAATTAAATCTTATAATATTTTATTATCATTTAAATTAATTCTATTTTAGCTATTTATAGAATGTGCAATTTAAAGCTGATTAATTGTAAACTGACGTTTGACCTTTTTTCCCGATCTGATAGCACAAGCTTTAATCTAATGAAGAAAAATCCCTTCTCCAGTAGATTCTAAATATAAACCAAATAAAAATATTATCAAGAGAACACTTCTGCATGCAATTCCACCGCCTACGTGCCGAAACAATTAGTTCTAAGCGATGTAATTGAATATAAAATAGACGTTAATAATCCCATACATATTTTTATTTTACTTATACTATGAAGGAAATAATATTTAATAAAATATTTTGCTTTTTATCGCATCGTCCAGTGGTCTACAGGGTGACCTTTTATAGACAAACATAATACTACAGAAATATTTAAAATTAATAATTTATATTTTTAAATTCTTGATATTGATTTACCTACCTAGTTTATTTTTAATAATAATAAAGCGAAATGTTTGTACCATATTTGGGTCAAAACAGTATTGATTTACTTCTTAGCCATGCTATTTTTAACTCTTCAATTATTTTTGTATTATTAGACTCAGTTTTATTACTTCTATATATAGAATTCGCAGCAGCAGCGATTGGTTATCGATCGCCTTTCAAAGTCGACCTTTTTCTTATGCCTCTTAATGCCCTTCACATTAGCTAATGAAAAAAAGTACTTTTTAACGGATTCTAAAAATAAACTTATAAAATTAATATATGAAAAGTGGTCTTCATGACACGGCACATGAATATTACATTGTCCAACACAGTGTGTATGTATGCAAGGTTTATATCAAGATAAGAATAATTGCTACATATGTCGGGAAAATGTATGCATATGTAGAATTTGAAACAGGAATTGTGTTTTCCCTTAATCGTTCAAACCTCAACGTTATAATTTGCCTTCGTTCTACATTGTTTTGTTGCAACACAATGAAAATTCTACTATCGAAGACAATGAAAATGCTATCATTGAAATTGTATCTGTCATCATTTTTACTGATCTTATGTACTGGTAAAATACTAATATGCAGATTACGATCTATACTTTTTATGGTATTTAATATTAAGGAGATTCGTTAGTAAATTGCGGGAAAAGGGGTAAGGGAAGTTGCTTTTATACTAAATAGGTACCAACTTGCAAAAACAAAAATAACTATCATTCTATTACATTTAAACAGCCAATTTTCTAACTGATTTTATAATTTTATATTTATATATATATATATATATATATATATATGCATATTATTTTGTATACATCACCTTTTATGATAGAAGTTTCATAAAAAAATTAAGAGAATAAACAGGAAGCAAAATCAAAAAGTAAAAAAAAATATCCTATGTATATTGCTTTGAAAAGTCCTGCTAATGAAAGTCCCATTAAAATTTATTCAGTCGATTCAAAGGTTAGCTTGGATAAACAAACACTTAAATTTTAATAATATATTTATAAATAGAATAAAATAATATCTATAGTTATAAATGTATATTGTAGTTACCACCTTTTTGCTTAACACAACAGTGTCACTTAACATGTTCAATGGACATTGTTTATCCACTAAGCTCTTCAATTTTAAAATAAATTAAAGCTTTTAATATTTTAAATGTCAGATATATTATAAAATAACATAAACTTGTTCGCAAAAACCTACATTAAAAATATGATTTAATTGAATACATTTTCCATTTTCTTTGGTTTTAGTTTAATCGTGTTTAAATTTAAAACTTTTATATATGTTTAATATTTTGGATATCTAAAAATTGCGTAAACCTATTTTATTTTTAATTTAATATAACTATACATTATCCATTTAATTTTATTTAAGTGTTTAAATGAAAAGTTTTTAAATAAACATTTTTATTTACTTCAACTACAAATCACCCTGTTTTTTAATAGTTCATGATTTTTTAATATAATTGTTCCTGATCTAAAATATGTTTACTGCAATAATTTAAATTGGGATAATTTAAATTTTTTTTAAACTTGTAAATGTGGTGGATGCACCGGGATTAAAAAAATTATATCTAATTTGGTTTAAAACAAATGTTTTATTCTGTGATGTTTATAGGTTCTATATTTAAATTACCTTTTTAATTTTTTTATCACCTCTATCATCTATAGATGATAATAAAACTTTCTGAACAATATCGGTACGTTTTAAAATTTATATGCCTAATAAAAAACAAGATAATTGGTTTATTTTTAAGTATTGTTTCATCCCACAAGGTTAAGCTTAGCCTTAGCATTATGTTTAAACTTGGGCTATGCTTAAGTTTTAGTTTAAGCCTAGGTTAAAGCCCTAGTTTAAGTTAAAGCTTGAGTAAACTTAAACTTAACAATCTAGAAAATTGTTTAATCAGTGTATCAATATTTTGATTATTCAACTAGTGGAACAATATTTTAATATTCAACTAGTGTAACAATAGCTTAGGGGGCATCCATTAATTACGTGAGGCAATTTTGACGATTTTTCGACCCCTCCTCCCTTTGGTGAGATGTCATGAGATTTTGCTCGATCCCCACCCCGCCCTTAATCTCACGTGAGATGCATAGTTTTAATGTAAAGTTAATCTGTGCTTAACCCCATTACATTTATTTAAAAAACAATTTGCTTATAATTTTTTACTTAATTTAACCCAGTTTTTTCGCAATTTTACGATGTTTCTTTCGGAAAAAAAATTACGTGATATTTGCCGAGACCACCCACCCTCCTACGTGAGATTGGGTGAGGTTTTGCTCGACTTCCTCCCCCCCTAAACACCTCACGTAATTAATGGATGCCCCCTTACATTGTTTTCGAGGAGATAATCATGCCAATTCACTAACATGATGTGTTAACGTTAGCCACTAGAATTAATGGTTACCGTTATATTCAATCCGTCTGATTGGGCGCATTGGTCTATAACCACTGATCCTAGTGGCTTACGTTAACGATTCTTGTTAGTGAATTGGCCTGAATGTCTCAATTTCACGTTTCACAAACATATTTATTAGATAAAACGGCAATTAAATTAAACCTACCTTCTGGACTCATTGGCCCTCAGTTCAAGATCTCTTTGTTCCTGCTCCTCGGGAGGCGGCGGTTGAGGCGGTTGCGGCGGCACGGGGACAGGCTGGCCCTCCAGCAGGGGATGACCAAGTGGCAGGGGCGAAGACTGCGTCCTGCCCAGGGGTCGAATCACGCCTCGGCACTGCTGAGGCTCCTGCAGCTCGCTGATGGTGTCCAGCGGCTGCTCTTCGTGCTCACTCTCAATGGCGGGCAGCGAGGGGTAGAAGGGTAGGGTGCCTGGCAGCATGGCCCCTGTCAGGGGCATGCCCAGGCGGGCGGTGCAGGCAGCCCTAACCGCGGCCTCGCTTAGGTCTGGAGGTGACAACACATGCACTGAAACAGTTACAAGTTACTGTACAGAAAATACAATTTCACAGTCTTGATTAAAAAAATAAAACTTAAGGATTATCATTTCGTACTAGGTATAAATGCTTTTTGGATTATAAAATAATATACCTACGCTAGAAACAAGGGGTAAACCTTTGATCTTTAAAACATTTCTTATTGATAAGGATTTTTCCTTAATGATAACGACTAATAAGGGAAAATCAGAATACAACGCCCATATAATGTTGAACGTTGGTCTCTCTAATTTTAAAGTGGTTTACCCCTCAGCTAGAAACAAACCATCCTTAAGCGGGTCTCACATGATCAGAAGGTAATATTGATAGTATATTAAATAACCTACTGTAGACGTTACTTATAGTTAAAGGGAAAATACTAAATATATTGTTGATATTTTCGGGATCCTAAAAGTGCTTGGACAGAGCTCAATTTATTGAAGCTTATATGTCAACGCAAGAACTGTGCAGCATATAAAAAAAAGAAAAGTATATTAAACTTTGCTTGAAATAAATAATAATAATAACTGAGCTATCCACTGTTTTACTCAACGTATTTTTTGCCATATATATGCACGTCAACTTGTACAATACAATATAATAACAATGTAGGGTTCTTTTTTGATAAAAACATTATCGCGACAAATTTTCTACAAAATTAAATACTGATTATTTCCCTCATTATAATATGAACCAATCAAAAGCCTTGAATTTTCGAATAAATTTCGCTTAAATAAGCGATTAAATCACTAGAACTATTTAACAGCGAATAAATTTTAGCCTCCATATTGGATTTTTGTTTACGATTTGGTGTTATTTACAAGTTTTAACAAACATTTTTTAAAAAACAATAAAAAATAAGTTATCCAATTTACGAAATATCAATTATTACTTATTACAAACCTTAAATTAATGGAATTTTCTTTGAAAAAATATTTATAAATTTTGACACATACGTCAGATTTTATGAATTGTCAAATAGTTTCCTTTAATTCGAGAAATAATCTAGACGTATATCACTCAACCTATAAATTTAATCTGTCAAACTATGCTCAGTAAGTTTTTTATTTGATTTTTCTTTTTGGAAAATAGTTTCATGCAAAATAATTAAAAATAAAAACCCCTCGACCGCTACGCGGTCTCGTGATTTTGCATTTAACATTTTCCAACAAAAACCAAACAAAAAACTACTGAGCCTAGTTTAACCGATTAAATTCATAGTTCTCGTGATATAATATATGATTATAAAATAGTGATCGTGCAAGGTGAATTTAAAAATACTACAGCATTACCGATAGTTACGGAAACTGTTAATAATATTGATCGTGAGGCCCGGTTAATCAACACATACTTAATGAAAAACGTGTTACTATCTTTAGGGTTTATAAAGATATTTTTAAATCACCATATAACATAAGTTTTACGGGGGTTTAAATATAGTTTATATTTAATATTTTCTTACTACTACTTATAATTAAAAAAATTTGCCCCCACCACATTATGCACATTTATCTTAAATGGCAACCCCACTTTTTTTTCGAAAATAATTGATAGTGCACATTTTCCTAAGTACGACGTTACCCCATAAGTAGGGTTTATTGAATATAGTTTTCAATACAGGGAGATTATTTACAAATTACAAGTATGAATTTGGCTTTCTCTATTTAGCTATTCATGTTTTTTTGCTTAGTTACTGTTTGATTAATATGTTACATAGCGCCTGTGTATTTTTGTTAATGCCGTTTTGGGTTTGTCCCGTTTGCATTGTTTATATTTGCATTGTTTACATTTTTTGCATTGTTTTAATTTTTATTATTAGTGAAACATTTCACGCTTTACTTGTTAAAGTATTTTTTATCCAATGCTTTTAATAATATTGCAATAATTTGTTCATAGTGCTGTATACAGCTGTATAACACTTAAAATTTTATTTAAAAAATGCGACACTTAACATAAACTCTAGAAATATTAATGTTGATTGTTTACGGTGATTTGTGCTGATTACAATAGCAAGTTGCTAACCTTTTTATCGAATAACACCCAAATTTAACAACCACTTTCTTAGGAAACTGTCTAAAATACATGTATGCACCATTTTGTGAATATATATATGTCTATATATATATATATATGTCTATAGACACGTTAAACCATATTTATTACCTTTTCAAGAAGATCCAACAACTTCTACGCGTGATGTTGAACGTGAAAACGACTGTTTTAAGATGTGTAAAAGCCAAATATCCTTAAACAACACGTACAAGAATTGATTGACGGTGATTCTGCTAGGAAATTGCAATTTTGCGAGCAAATGCTGAATATGCTAAACAGGAATGTTATTTCTTATGCAGATATTTTTTCTGATAAATCAACATTTCTGAATGGCGAGGTAAATAGGCAGAATTGCAGATACTCGGCAGAAGAAAACTCCCACTGGATGCGGCAAAGTCATACCCAACGTCCTAAGAAAATCAACGTTTGGGCGGGTATTATTGGTGATCATGTGGTGGGACCTATTTTCATTAAAAATCTTAACGAAGCAACATATCTGGAAATGCAAGGAGAACAACCCAAGTAATATTTTTAGTTTTATTATGGTCTTCAAGAACGCTTTAAAACAAAATTTTGTTTTAAAGCGTTCTTGAAGACCATAACAAAACTAAAAATGTTACTTGGGAAGCTAGAAGTGTTGTTTTCAAATCCATAAGGAATTATTTAAATGACACCTTTCCACACAGGTGAATCGAAAAAACAGCATTCATAAAATGGCCAGCAAGATCACCAGATCTAACCCAAAAACATTGCTGCAATGTTGCATTAAACCGTTATGCAATATTGGTGCAATATTGTAGCAACCCTAATTCTTCCTTGCAATAATTCATAAATATTTTTGCAGTTTTATTAATATTCAACAAGATTTTGCCGCAATGTTTCCGTCGAAAAGTACTTGAACGGTTGAATGATAATATTGCTACATGCAGCTAAAAGCTCAAGTCATTCAGTAAATTCATATAGGTTCATTTTTAAGTAAGATAGATTCATATGATTCCAAGAAAATATGGGAAATATTAAATTTCAATGCTTTTCGATTAATTTCCAATATCAATTTTTCATGTTTTTCATAAATTTTAAATATTTAAGCATTTAAATTTCATACCGCCTAATATCTTAGTTTTGCAGGCTTGTTATCACTTTTGATCTTGGCCATGGGCCGAGAAGAGATAATTAAATTATTTCTTTTTCTTCTTTTAAACAAATGTTTTATCCTAACACAAGCGAGAGAAATCTAAGATTGACGGGCGCCCCCTAGGAAGACAAAAAGATTATTTTCTGAATTGTTTTTATCATTCTCAAGTTTTTCGAAATTATTTACAAATTATAAAGTCGTGCCTATTTAGCTTCTCATAAAATTAAGACCAATTTTGATAGTCTGTAGATTTGTTATACCCAATTTAAAAAATAAAGTTATCAAATCGTCACCTGAGAATTATAGTGTTCTATCTGCATTTTCTTTTTTTTATTCAGGTTAGTCTTGTTTTAAGTCTTAAAGATGATATTGATCTATTTATATATAATTGGGGTAGAAATTGTAAAGTTTAAGGCTTAAACTGTACAATTTCTACCCCAATATAATTAGATAGATAGAACAATATGCATCTTTAATACTTAAAACAAGACTAACCTGAATAAAAAAAAGAAAATGCAGATAGAACACTATAATTCTCAGGTGACGAAATGTTAGATCATTTTATACACTTTGAGAAAATGTAAATATATTAATTTGTTGCGGTAACGTTATTTTTTACCAGGGATAAGTAGGTATGACACACACAACATTACCTCAATATCCCTTTTTAAAACTGTTCAAGGAATTGTACAGTAATGTTGCTTATCCAATGATCAAGCCATGTTCCGAAAATGTAATCGTGCTCCACCAACGTTGCAGGAACATTTTATTCAAACATTACATCAACATCGCTTTTTGAATCTGTTTAAGTATTACAGTACAGAAATATTTTGAAGGTGGTATATAAGTGCACTTTGAAATTGGCGGAAATATTTAATTTTAATATTACCAAAATATTATTTTTTTCCTACCTGTTGATCATAACCTTGCAGCAACATTGCTTTGAGAATATGATCTTAATTTTTGAATTGTAGCATTGGTACAACATTATTTACAGGAATGTTTTTTTTGCAATTGCAATATTTATTACATTGCCCAAATGTTACATTTAACATTTTAAGTCCCTCACAAAAGCAATATTGCATGCTCGGTAAAAACACCTCTAGACTTTTTCCTATGGGGACATGTAAAAAACAGGGTGTTTAAAACCCAACCTGCCAATTGATATGAATTAAGAAACATAATAACTGCAGAAATTAGGAACAACATCGAAGGTTTTAAACATAGTGCGAGAACAATTTCACATTAGATTAAGTGTCAAGTAAACGGGGGACATTTTGAACATTTAAAAGAACAGTTTATTTTTTAATTTTTAATTAAATATAATATAAAAAGTTTAGTCATTATATTGAAAACTATGTTTACTAAACCCTACTTATAAGTATATATGGCTACTCATGTGCACTATCAATTATATAATAAATGTGCAAAATGTGGTGAGGGCAAAACAATTAAAGTTTACGTGTACGAGCGTTTTTCATGTTTATCTTTTCTCATCGAATAACGAATTTTATTTTATATTTTATAAGTGAGAACCACACTGTACAGTAGTGGTCATAATTATAGCAACTTTTAAAATTTATCAAAAATTTAAGTTTTACCACTTCACTGGGGTACTTATATTTAAAATGTTTTGTATTTTAGTATACAAAAAACAACAATAAAAAACAAACATTTTTACGCTGGTCAGTTCATCTGTGCGAAAGCATAATATTATTGTACGTTTCGAGTTTATATTACCATTAGTTAACCTTTTTGGAATATTTCCTGATTTTTAAAAGTTGCTCTAATTTGAAGCATTCATTGGTGCGCCCCTTTTATATTTAAACATAATAGATTAAATATTTTAATTTTAAGCCCTAAAATTTTAAAAATAAATATTTTGCGACAAACTGATAATATGTCATTAAAAATGTAAAAAAACTGCTGAATTTAACTATAAATTGTATATTATTATACGAGAGGATGAAGTTTACGTCTCGAGTCGCCCGTCGAGAGACTTAAATCATCCGAGTAAATAATGCGGATAATCTCAAGTGTAATACTATACTTTATCTACTCCAATAAGTAGATAATTAAATGATTTTTAAAATTAAATAAATTAAATCTGACATGTGTCAAATGGTTAACCTAACTTTTTACCAATTTTAAATGTTATTATAGTCGCCTTCTTGCAATTTAAAACCCGATTGGTTTAAATCACAGTGAATATTGAAATCGGCCAATCACTAGTTCCTAACAACGTGAAATAATGAGTTCATTATTCAAATCCAATTCAGGAAATTTATAATGTTTATCAATTTTCACGAAAAAAACTCAAAATTATGCAAAAGGAGTAAATAAAAATATTTATTGAATTACCAAAACAAACAAAATCACAAAAATATATTTAGTAATAAAAATACCCTAAAGAAATAACCGTCAACTGCAACTATCAAACAAATACTATAGTATACTTTATAAATACTATAGTATATTTTATAAAATATTATGACAATGTCTCTCCTTTAATTTTAATACTATTTAATTTTTAATACTATATCAAAAAAAATTAAGCCGCCAATATTGGAAAAGGCGCTTGCGGCCAAAAAAAGAGCGGTATGAGGCTTTAATGCGTCGCGACGCAAAGAAAGGCGGTAACCTTTATCCTATGTATGTTTAGGAATTTGTTTATTGCAAGAAAGTTTATCGTCAAAGTACTGATTGACCCTACAATACAATTTTCAGTAAACTTTTAAAAAGTTATTTCTTAAGGAATGACCAAATTAAAAAACAGTTTGGAATACATACTTTTGACGGTGTGGTGCGTAGCCAGCGAGATGTTGGGCATCGAGGGGCTGCTGAAGAGCGCGTGTCGCTGGTACTCCTCCGCCTCGCACGGCGGGCTCAGCTCCTTGGGCGGCTCTTGAGGCGGCGACTCGCTGGGCGGCAGACACGTGCTCAGGAGCTTCTTTTTCAGGGACGGCGGCAGGTGGCGCTTGCTCATCGGGCTGCAACGACGCTCCATCACGCGCTGCTTCAGCCGCACCTTCAGAAGGTTGGGCTCGGATGCTGCAAACAAACAACACAAATTATCATTAACTTCAAATGTCTCTTATATTTATTAATATTAGTTTATTCAAATTTTGAGTGTTTGAGTATAAAATAGTATTTATTCGACATGCCAGAATTATAAATAAATAAACATTTATGTTTATAAACACGATGCAAAATCAAATATACAAAAATGTTTGCTTCGTTTGTTTTATTTTTTTTTCATGTTTTTATACGTTTTTTAAATTGTAACACTGATAAATTTTAAATATTTATTAATTAAAATTAGTTTGTCCACTTTTAAATGAGAAATGTTCACCAACTCTTTTGATTTTAAGTTGTTTTGTGAATATTTTATTGACAAACCAAAGTTCCTTCACGTTATAGCAATCTTTATTCGAGAATAATACATTTTTTCTACTCCCACCTTTAAAACGCCCTTTATCGTACATGTTTCCATGACACTAAGTAACCTTTTAAATACACATTGACAAGTTGTGGCTTTATGGCGCTTTAGTCACGGGCTGAAGTTAGCAACAGGTTTTTAGTCACGGGCTGAGGTTAGTTTTAAGACAGTTGTCAAATGTCATACAATCGTTAAAATAAAGTGCCTTTCTTGTAAAATAATTCTAAATGTGAAAATTATTTTATTATCTCAATACAAAAATACAAAAGTATTAAATAGTTTCTGAACGCCAATATTTAAAAAGTTTATATGAACATTGTACTGACCTTTTAATTTCGCCGGCAGTAAACTATAACTTAAATTCGGGCACGGACTCTACTGTAAAGTGCTCATAAAACATTTTCTTTACTTTTACTGTGAAAAACTGTCAATTTTCAAGAAATACATTTCGATTTATAACCTTTATAAAATACAAAAATTTGACATTTGACGGTGACACACAGATTCCCCTATTAGCTGGCCATACACAGGCGTTATTTCGCGCGGTTTATCGTGGCGTGTTGGGATGTAGCGGTTAGTATGCACGAAAGAACGGCATGGCAAAAAAAGCGTCATGTTCCATACACTTGATAAAGTATTCAAATGATTTAGCAAGTGATTGCGCGTAGTATATCAGTTTCAAAGGAAAAATCGTATGTGAGTGGGCAAAAAGTGTCACGTGACGCGGAATGTGGCGTGTGGCGTGTGGACACTGCTGAAATGATGTACGCCACAATCCAGAGGAAAGCACGTCTGAAATACCTTCCCGTTCTATCATTGCGCGCGGCGATACTCACTCACGTACATGATTTTCCATATGTTTTTGCAGATAACATGATAAACCGCGCGCAATAACGTCTGTGTATGGCCAGCTATTGTTTCGTAGATGGCGCTCTATACAAATTTTTGATTTAAATCATTTTAAGATAATAATAAGTATTTTTCGTAGAAAAAGTATAATTTAAGCACTCGCTCGCAAGCTCGCTCGTGCCTAAATTAAATTCGTGTATAAAATGGCGTTTATCAAACTTGATACATAATATACTATTATATACTCCCCCATTGATAAGCTGTATTTTATGGCGTTTTAGTCACGGACTGAGTTGGCAACAGTGGCTTTTGGGTATTTTAGTCACGGGCTGAAGTTAGATTTATTATAAATTGGGAAAAATTGAGGTTAAATCCGTTGACAGTTGACAGATGTCAAATTTTTAACAAATAAAATTGGCTTTAAATTCTTCTTTTTGTTAGTCGTAGATAAAGTATAGTATGCAACTCATTTTATAAACTTCTCCAGACACTCGTTTTTACTAAACACTCGCTCGCAAGCTTCGCTCGTGCGTAAAAATAGCGTTTATAAAACTTGATACATAATATCTAATCCTACATTGACGGGCTGTGACTTTATGGCTTTTTAGTCACGGGCTGAAGTTAGAAACAGTGGATTTTAACCAAAACTATAAGGTTTTAATCGTACATTATTTATCAAGTTTTATAAACGCCATTTTAGTTACGAGTTTTATTAGGCACGAGCGAAGCTTGCGAGCGAGTGTTTAATAAAAACGAGTGTCTAGAGAAGTTTATAGAACGAGTTACATACTATACTTTATCTTCGACGAACACAAAAAAAATGAAAGCTAATTTTATTTCTTAAAAATTTGACATCTGTCGACTGTCATCGGATTTAACCTCACTTTCCCCAATTTATAGTAAATCTAACTTCCGCCCGTGACTAAAATATCCAAAAGCCACTATTGCTAACTTCAGCCTGTGACTAAAACGCCATAAAGTCACATCTCGTCAATGTAGGAGTAGATAAAATTAATTTTAGAAATTTAAAGACCAAAGTAAGTAAACTTTATCTTTACTATTCACAGGGGTCCACAATGAGTCATAGGTCACATAAAAATGACGCCAAAAACTGAATGCGTTATCGGAATAAGGACCCTCTCTAGAGTTTAAAAACATGTTTTTCAAAATTGTAGTAAATCCTTTTTTTAATTTTGGAAGTTAATTCAAATACCAACTGTAATTTAGTTACTTTTTTTGCGAATTTCTTTAAAACTGAACCCTTTGGAAAAAAATAGAGAATTAAAGACAAAATGATGCTTCAACAACCGCAACCATTGGCGTAGAATTTTTGTTATATACAAAATGTTTAAAAACTTGTCGTTTTTGCACATTAATCGCCGAAACCATATTTCACAAAAGAAGCAAAGGACAACAGTAAATGGTTTATCTATTAAAAAAACTATATATTTAAAAAAAACAGGACCCTTAAATAAATTGAGTAACTAAGTTATGTATGTTCAGTAGTTGAGGTATACGCTCACGCAATAATACTACCATCAGTTGCTTACATTAAATTGCCAACGGAAGGAGTAAATAAAAAAATCTAGTTAGCCATCACCTTTGCCAGGCAACACTTTTGCCTACGTATTTTGGAACGGACTAGTGAAACTTCTGGAAAAAGAACAAGCGTTGATGGCCTAAAATACTGAATTTGGTCTCTAAGAACTACCAAGGTGACAAATTTAAGGGAAATGCATGTTAAATGCTTCTGAAACATCCTGCCACTCTTTTAACAAAAGATTTTTTGAAAACTGGTAGACTATGGATAAATTAGTTGAGATTTATTTTTCCACCAAAACGCCAAATTTTGACTAAATACAAATGCACTTACAAACATTAGTGTATGTCCTACTTAATCACTTGGAAAAATGTCCACCGCGAGTTTATAAAATTTTGGAAATCAATACAAGATAAACATGGCACATCCTAACTTTAAAAAGTCGTTAAAAAGAGCAGTTGTAGAGTTTTCATCAAGTATTTCTTGATGGAAACTCTACAACTTTTAATGCCTTTTCTCATGTTGATAACGTTACAATAATATTTGACAATTATTAAGTAGGTACTTACTTGTCTTTTTTGTTTTATATAGGTTATATTTCTTTAATGATAAATGATGCTGCAATGCTGAAAGTAACCTATGGCAGGTTATTTACAAAAAAATGATACATACCCAGTTAAACAAAAAAAATTCAAGACTACGTCCATGGATTTCGTATGCCAACAGTTTAGGCATAATTATGGAGGCATGATTTAATAGATAATTAAGTCACCTTTATTTCCTTATTCAAACATTTTTTTCAAAGGCCTCCGTTTTAAAGATAATAGCAAAAACCTAAAATGAATCACCAAATGACGTTTGATATTTGGATTATTAAGCAAAACTTCAAAAAAGGAACAGCTAGAATTTTGAAAAAGATATTTTTAAACTTTAGAGGACATCCTTTTTCCAATACTGTAGTCAGTTTTTGGCGTCATTTTTATGTGACCTATGACTCGTTCAGGACCACTGTATAATATAATATATTTTAATATAATATATAACATAATATATTATGAATAAGGACATACTAATTTTAAATAAAAATGTAATATTATAATACATACACAAATTTCCAGTCACTTATGTTAATTTGCGCAACAGAAATAGTGGTGACCTGTGCAATTAAAGATAATAAATATGAACAACAAAATTTGACACAGAATACAAAGTTTGTGAATTATCGTGATAAAAACATTAAAATTAGCCTGTTAATGCGACGGATTAAAATAGAATTTAAACGTTTTCAAGAAATATCCCACGTTTTGCCTTGTACGGAATTTTAATTGGCTTGATGCAAATTCCAAATAAAAATTCGCTAGTTTCGGCCACCTGTACGAGCCAAGTTCTAAGTTAAGGCAATCATTTTTACACTAGGTGGACAATAGTATTTTTAGTTTATTATTAGTTTTAAAACAACAACTATAATTTAATTTAAAAATGATAATAAATATTGTTAAGTAAGGTGTTATTCAAATTTATTTAAAAACGGTTTTTAAAACAATACTTTGAATGATAAATTAATATTTTAAGAAAAACTATGACAAATTTGTAAACATGTATTAACTGTATAACAATAAGTTTTAAACAAATATTTTAAAATAATTATAGTAAATAATCTTATCTTGTCTTACAACAAATAATTCTTAATTCAAAAATAGTATTAACAAAATTAATTAAAATCATATTATGAATTAAGAATTAAGAATTATTTGTTGTAAGACAAGATAAGATTATTTACTTTAATTATTTTAAAATATTTGTTTAAAACTTATGATGGGTCACACTGTATATAAACAATTCTTTTACAACCACCCATATAAATTATATACTATAATATTCAGTATATTATACTGGATATTATAGTATATAATTTATATGGGTGGTTGTAAAAGAATTGTTTATATACAGTGTGACCCATCATTTATTTCAACTTTTATATTTGTTTTGGAGTAATGGCTGTGCAGGCTTGTATTACCCTAGCCCGTAGTTCTTGTGCAGTAGAGGGGACGAAAATCGAATTGTAGAGAATTTTTTGAACTCTCTATTTTTTGTTTCGTTATTTTGAGTTTCTATTGCGTTTTTTATTTGTCAAAACTAAGCATAAGAATATTTATACCATGGTATGCATGTTACTATTAGTTTAATTTTATTTTAATGTTTTTTCATGGAGAACTTGACAGA